CCTACACCATAAGGTTGCCTCTCTGTGCCTTTTTCGATAAAAACTTTCATGGTAAGTTTTTGGATGAGCTCTTCACTATGGTACCTAGACTTTTTGAATTTAAATGCAGCACTAGACTGGCATTAAGATCTTATCAATTGAGCTAGCTAAATGTAACTGTAAATTCTATTCTAACAGTTTCTTCTCTCACACTTATCACTTGCTTTCCAGCTAACTTTAATCTTCAAAAATTTTAATGCAATGTCAATCGCTATCTACTGTCCTCCTGATTACTCTTCTCTCTTCCCACTCATTATTAATGCTTCCATTCCTAATTCTTCCACACCCTGTAACCCCTTGTATTTTAGTGGCTTTACTGCCTTGTATGGGGTAATACTGATTAAAAAAATTTAAAAAATAGCTGCATTCTGTTTTATTGCCAACTATTTACACTAAATATGTGTCAAAGATTGCCTGAGAAGATAGTAAGTCATTGACTACTTGGGCAAACTGCTTTCCCATGACTATCTGGCCTGATATAGTTACAGAATATTACAGTTACTGAAAAAGATGTTGCAAATCCATTGTTAATTTTGACAAGGGCCATTCAAAGTATGTGTAGTGGAGATAGCAAACCACTGACCCACAGGTTATGAACTGACTTACTATCAACTTTTTAGTGACCCATGAGGAATCAGTGAAAAGACGTCATGAAATATGGCTTGCCATGAACCACTAGGGATCACCTTCATATGTATATGAGTGCTGCATGCATTAAACTGAAGACAATAAAGTATGAACTTCAAATTAAAACATTAGCAACTAAGATACAGTGGCAAGTTTCTAACTAAAAAATTATTGGTAAATATTTGACTGACCCACTTATGTTTATGAAAAATTTAAAAGTACCAAAAATGACCCAGTCTCAATTAAAGGTCACCATCTCTGATGTATAGCAAATATATAAGAAAATACTAATTTTGACATGTTTTCCTGATAAAGAATTTTATTTCAACAAAATCTACATTAGCAAGACAAAAGTTATTCCTGCTATGTGTCTGAATGCTTGATTTTTTATTTTAACTTTATTGTTACAGGAATTATAGATTACTTAGAAGTCAACAATGCAGCATATTACAAATTGAAAGAAAAGGAAGTTGACAGATAACTACAGATAAGAAAGCTGCTTAATCATGACAGCCTATAGAATGATACATTAAAGACTAGTTGCCAAGGTATAGGAGTGATTCCATTATTACAATGAAAACCAGAACTTAGTCTATATTACAGTCAAAATGAGTACAAATCCAAATTTTCTTTTAATTTAAGAATTTTAAAAGAAGGCCAAAGTACATATGCACCAAAATATCATGATAGAAACAATAGAGATGAGGATACCACTTCAAAAAAATTGTGGAATAATGAAAATGGTTAATGTTAGAATATCAATAATTTATTTATTTCTATAATTAGATAAATAAAGGCAGTATGATTTATATTAATTATTATTAAATATGATTAATACAATTATTATTTACACCTCAATCAATAAAAAAAAAATTTGCTATTACACAAATTCTAATCTTTTTATTATCACAGTTGAAACTTGATAATAATTTTTGAGATTATCATCTTATTTAAGTAATGTATTTTAAGATCTGATGAGAGTTCCATTATAAAAAAGTGATTTTCCAATATTTCAGGAGAAAATCCAAATATTGAAATACAAATTAATTTAATATACCAATAGAAATATGCATGTCATCTTTACTTGGCAACTGAAAGAATCAAGATTTGGAACTCACCTGCTACAGCAATGACCAAAACTAAGACACAGAATATTCCAGAAAAGAGACCAACTCGAAAAGTCACCCATGTATTTGGCTGAAAAAAAATGAGACAAGGGAGACAACTGTTTAAGCTCATTTTAATTATTTTAGCTTAGAATCATTTATTTTGCAATGTTTGACCTGAAAAAAAAAACTGTGTCAAAGGAACATTTTTTTTTTCTTGTCACCACTATTACTGTATACTTCCTTAACAATGTTTATTGTTTTAAAAATCTATGTTTAGAATTATAATAACAACAAAACTATTACACTCTATTTAGTTATTAGATTGTTTATTTACAAGATTATAAAAATGCGAATATTTGAATTGATTTTACTAACCATTCCAAAGTACACAATTTGTTGATTTTGCCAGTTGCTTTGGTCAGGGTGCTTAGTATTCATTCTCCATTTAAGATTTCTTCATCAGTTATCACTTGGCTGACAATAGATAATCCATCTGCAGATTTTCTAGGCATGCTTCATGCAAATGTTTAGAAAAATTAGCAACGATTTAAAAATTCTTTCAAAATTATGTTTTTCAAAAAAATATAGGAAGAGGGTTAACTTATAATTTCTGGAATTTAAGGCCATGGAATTTTCTATTGGTTAGACCTCCTTAATCTTAGATCATGATAATAAAAAAAATCAAAAATTTAAAACAAGAAGTATTCTGAGAGATAATCTGCAAGGAAAATGTATAATATTCAAGAAAATCATGAGTTTATTTAAATTTTCTTGTTCTATACTTCACAAGCGTTTTTTTTTTTTTATAAATTTATGAATAAAAAATTGTTTTCAGTTATTTATTTATAAAATAGTAAATAATAAATATTGCATTGTAGTTGGTTCAGATAGTTCTATAATTTTGTAAGTTTTTATATGATTTTTAACAAAAAGATTTTCCTATTTATTTCTTTATAAAATGGTAAATAATTATTACATTGTAGTTGGTCTACATATTTTTATAACCTTGTAAATATAAAATTAATCTTGTAAATAAATAATCTAATAAAAAATAGTAATATTTTTGTTGTTATTAAAATTCTAAACATATTTGAAAACAAACATTGATGAGAAAGTCAAGTGAGTACAGAGTAATAGCAGTGTCAAAAGAAAAACTCACCTTTTGGCACACCATTTTTTCAGGTACATAGCTTAAACTTTGCTCATTATTTTATTTTGTTATATTTTTTTAGAATCATTTATAATAATAAAAATGTTATTGATCATAATGAATTAATAAACATTGCTTTAATTGACAGAATCAATTCTGGTAATAATTCTGGACATATCCAATTGCAATAATATTTTATAATGATGATAATATAATAACTGTAATATGTTTAATAATAATAATGATTAATATAGTCGGTTATGTAATGGGGGTGTAACTTCCCATTTATCAAAGAGTTAACAAAAACAGAAACAATGTGTCAAGTGTGTTGAGCTGCAGGGTTAATATGTAGAATCATATATACACTTCATGACTCTAGGTCTGTTTTCTTAGCCAGACTGAGAACTTTTCAGCACACCCACATACCGATTTCATATAATCTACTGTACTTAACAATAAATAGTATAGTCATTAACCAATTTTACAGAATTCTGCAGAATTAATTGTAATAAATTTAATTATGTTGCTTTTATCTATTTTAAAATTTTTATTAAAACATTGAAAAAAGTTTTATAGACAGAATGAAGCCATTCAATATTAGTAAAAACTGAAATAATTATTCAATTTTTTTATTATGAGGTAAATTTCCATAAAATAATTTTTATTTTTCATGTCCATTTCACTGAAACAATTTTTTTATTTAGGTTCTGAATCTTTAGAAAATAATTTGATTTTCCTCATTGCTTTTTAACAGGACTATTTAATATTTTCCTTGTTGTTTAGTTATCAAAATTATATTAACTTTTTTGTTATTATTACATCACTTTAGATTTTCTTTTTTTCATATTATCTTCATTGAACTCAACAAATTAACATAGAATTACTTTATATAATACTCACTTGTTCTCCTAAAGGAGGAACGCGAAGTCTTTTCATAGCCTTTTGCCGATTACCTCCTTCAAGGTCAGTGGTTACAATTTGCTATAAACATAGTACAAAAATTATAAAACAATTGTAAATCATTGAAATTTTTATATAGTTTTAAAATAACATACATTTCAATATTGGCTGAATATGACATGAACGGATAACGGTTAAAGGGAAGTAACTCTTATGGAACAAAATCTGATATCGCAAAAAGCCGAACAGACGAACATACTTGAAAATAAGCAAACGAAATCCTTTTGTTGTACCTGTAACGAGTATGCAACTATCTCGGCTACCATGAGGACCAACTGGCAAATCAAAATGTGTTCTGTATTTAGGTTATGATATTTGTTAATTGCTTTGTTTTTTTTATTTTATTATTTTTTAAAAAGTTTTTAATCATTTCATCCCATGCTTGGCAATAAAGCCACTAAGACACAGGGGATTACTGAATGTGAAAGAATATGAGAAAACAATATTAAGGAGAGAGAACAGTAAAAGAACAGAAATTAAGAAGACAGAAGATAATGATTGACATTACATTTAAATTTTTGAACATCAAATTTGACTGGAAAAAAAGAAGCCAAGAGAGAGTTCCACAAGGATGAAGTGGGAGAGAAGAAACTATTAGCATAGAACTTACGGTTATATCTAGCCACTTCAACTATAAAATGACAAAGCCTTTTTGCCAATCTAGTACTGTGCTTAAATTTATTAAGTCTAAGTACCATAGAGGAAAGAATTACCATGAAATTATTTATAGGAAAAGCTACATTTTAGTGATGAGAAAGTGACTGAAGCTGAGATGCCAGGTCAGATTCTTTGTATTTTATCAAAAGTCTTTAAATGCACAGCAGAAACACAAGACCAGGTTTGGCAGCAATATTCAATGCCTAGATGAATGATAGACTTATGAACGTGTAGGATAAATTCTGGCAAGAAAAGTTGACGAGCATGGTACAGTGAATTAATTGATACCATGAAGCACCATACCTGTTAATTGATTCAATATAATCTTTCTACTGCATCTCAACAGAAAATGTTATCCTGAGAAATCACAATGAGTCATTCTACTGGAGGTTAGCATTAGCCATGGTGAGAGAGGGCAAAAAATGTTCTCACAGATGATTAAAAGAGAGCAGTTTTGTTTTTTGAATCATTTTTATTCTACAAAAAACACTGAGGTTGAAAAATCTACTTTGATTTTTTCTTTTTTTTTTTTGTAGCTAATTCTGTTGTTTAATTCAAATCATTGATTTTATTGGATAGCTAACTCTATAAAAAAATAGAAACAAATAGCAAATTTTGTTCTCTCTAGCAGAGAGAACAACATTTACTCTGACAGGGGAGAACAACATTTGCTCTAATAGAGAGAAAAACATTTGCTCTGGCAGAGAGAACAAAATTTGCTCTGACAAGGAGAACAAAATTTGTTCTGACAGGAAGAATAACATTTGCTCTGGCAGAGAGAACAAAATTTGTTCTGACAGGAAGAATAACATTTGCTCTGGCAGAGAGAACAAAATTTGTTCTGACAGGAAGAATAACATTTGCTCTGGCAGAAGGAACAAAATTTGCTCTGGCAGAAGGGACAACATTTGCTCTGACAGGGAGAATAACATTTGCTCTGGCAGAAGGAACAAAATTTGCGCTTATATTTTCTCTAACATATGAAAGAAAGAATGAAAAATATAACCAAATCAGATTACCAACAAAAACACTAAGAATTGGAAACTGATCCAACTTACAAATTATGCATTATCCAATTATATTTGGTACGCATCATACTTTTAGTGCTCATTTTATAAGAATATGTTTAAGTACTCATCATTTTTTATTATTATAATATCTTAGGCTACATGCCCTAGAATAATAGTAAGCACATCTTGTATATTTTAAGGGGTAAAGATGAGCTGTGATGAAGAGAAGTTAAAAGAATATATATGGCCTTGCAGAAGATGGACATTTATAGGTCAGCAAAAATCTTTTAACAATTTTTCATTTCTTTTTTTTCAATTTGTTAAAGATTTGAATGATTGTAAATGAGTGACATATATCAACTGCAACATTAGTCAATATCATTGATCACAAACACATCAGAATTTTATGATTTATTTGAAATGTGTTTCCAAGTGTTATTTTATTAAATCAAGACATTAGAAGGAAAAAATACTGTTATTAACCTCAGTTTCTTTGATTAAGTGATCCACTTCTTTTGTTGTATAAAAATGAGCAATATCCACATGGCCCAGCCTCCATTCCATTCCACAGTTGGTCTGAAAAAGCTAAAAATTCAAAAAGAAAAAAAATTGTAAGTTTAATAAAATTAGTGTTTTGTTTTAGATTTTAAAACATATGGTTTCAAAGCTTACTTGAAATTTTGACTACAAGTAAACTTTGTGATAGTATGAACACCCATGTAGAAAAGTAACATGTGATTTCATCTTGACCTGAAATGTTTCTGTTAAATAGCCAGGAGGTGTTTCTTTTTGGAGTCTTGTCTTCTAAGTGGGAATGGGAAAGTAAAGGAGTGGATGAGAGTTTTTTGTGACAAAGCAAAAACAAACTGGATATTGATTATTTCCAGATGTTGGTCTATATTAACAGTCATGCTTGGGAGTGGAGAATTAGTTCTGCTCCACTCTTGGTGGGAAACAGATTTGTCCTTTGTGTGCCTCCAATGCCACCTGTTTGTATTGCCAGCCACATGTCAGGATACATAGATGGGTGAGAAGTTGATAGGGAGATCTGGTCTATGAGATTGACATAGAAGTTTTACAACCTAGATAAGCAGGCAAAACTCTGAATAAAACATCTACATATAATATAGAAAACATGGATCATATTCTTATTTCTTGGTGTGGCATACAGCAGGCCCTTTCTTAGCTTATGGTGCTCACCAACAAGATCAAGAATCAAAATACAATGTGAGGTAATCATCAGCTGGTTAGTGAAATACTTGGGCAAATGTTGCATTGTATGTTTATAAACATTAATGAAATTTCAAATGTAAACATGACAATGATTAAATTTCTAAATTCTTGTCTTTATCACTAAATAATATATATATATATATATATATATATATATATATATATATATATATCAAATAAAGAGAAAGAACAAACAGATTAAGAATCCATTATTCTTAGTATCTGTCTATATTTCTGAGATGAGGTATTATGTACATTATTTACATTATTCGGACTATTGTCTTCATCTTTGTCGCCATATTTATTACGTTTCAGCCATTGTAATAAATATAGTGACAAAGATGAGGACAATACTCTGAATAATGTAAATAAATCCACCATTCTTAGCACTTACTTTTTTTTAAAAAGTGCTCGATACGATGTAGAGCAAAATATAATATTTTTTATTATAAAATATTTTACAAAGCTACACAAGAATTTCTGTTTCGGAACTTAATAATTGCTCCATCATCAGGCAATGTTGGGTAACTTATGATGAAAATGATTGACTTGTAAAATCAGAAAACAATTCGGTAGCTTATTTGAGAGTTAAAAAGGAGGGAGGAACAAGATTCAAAAATTTTGTGGGCATGTCTGGTGTAACCAATCAAAAGACATCAAAGCTAAAGCAGAAAAGTGAGAAATTAGGTTGGAAGTTAGGTGTAGGTGGGTTATTGATTCATGTCTAGATGCATTGATATTTTTAAGGTACGTCACCACAGACGACATACAGTTATGAATATAAATTTAAGATACAGTGAATGAGACAGAAAGATATATTTAACAAAAGGTTAATTTTACAAGTTTTGTTCGCTTGCTCATTCTGAGGTATTGTATATCATTTATGGGAAACTGAGAGTTTGTATGGGGTATAGCATAAGGGAGTAGTCGAGACAGACACATGGAAGAAAATCAACATGCATATGTAGGAAAGAAAGATAGACTTGTAAGAGAAATATTCCATGAATTATCACATTGTATTAGTCAAGAATTAATCTTTGCTGCTGCTTTCATCACTAGCCAAAGGCATCACTGTTGATAGAAGCACCTTGGCATTGCTGCTGATGGCCTGGTTAAACTTGTCTGCCATGGGGTTCATCACTAATGTCAGCTTGGTCAGATCTGCCTTTGAGGGTGAAATCAGTATTGGCTTTATAGTCAGTCAGGCTGCTGTAAAAAAAACATGTAGGCTTTTTCTGATTGGTCTAAAAAGATATATTATGACCCTGCAATGTTATTGGTTCTAATTTGGCATCTCGGCTTCAGCCACTTTCTCACTGCCATAATGTAGCTTTCCTGGGCCTTCTCTATAAATATTTTCATCATAATAGTTCTGATGACCATTTCTCTTTGGTACCTTGACTTTATGAATTTAAGCACAGTACTAAGTTGGCAAAAAGGCCTCATCATTTTACTGTTGAAATGACTAGATGTAACTGTAAGTTCTATGTTAACAGTTTCTTCACTCACAATTCTCACTTGTGGGACTCTCTTCCAGCTTGTTGGTTTCCAGTCAACTTAGATCTCCAAAAATTTAAATACAATGTCAATCATTATCTTCTGTCTTCTTATCTTCTGTCTTCTTAATTCCTGTTCTTTTTGTGTTCTCTCTCCTTAATAATGTTTTTTTCCTCATATTCTTTCACATTTAGTAACCCCTTACATCTTAATGACTTTGTTGCCTTGCTTGGAGTAAAATGATTAAAAAAACATTCTAATAAAATAAAATATTATCAACTCATATTTATGTGGTATATTGACCACATGTCCTGAAATAACTTACCAACACCAGTTCTTTAATACCAGCTTGATTGTGAAAACACAGACCTGTATAACTGACAGTGAGTGCATATGTGTTTGTGTGTCAGTAATAATCATGTTTTGCAAAAATAATCAGAAAAATTAATTTGGTAAATTGAAATCTAAAAAATGCTCCAGTAAAAACTAAGAGTAATAAAAGTAAATGTTTCTGCTGGTTTATTGACATTTAAATGGGTCATGTAAACTTTGTTTTTTCATTGAATGATTTTTACTGTGCTCAAGACTTTTGATTGATCCCTATCAAGTTGAACAATAAAGGGAATAGCTTTATGCTAGGCAGGTGAAATAGTTATAGGAGAGTGGTAAGTATTTTATTAAGATATCCACTGATGAAGTAGGGTACAGGGAGAAGTGGTTTCATTCTTTACCAAATGGATTTAGTACAAAATGTATGTAATCACAAATAAAATTTTATTTACAAATTCTGTTTTCAAACACCATAACTGTGGGTTATCCCACTTAACTTTCCTAAAAAAGTAAACGTTGTTAGGGGATGCTCCTGAAGCCTATGAATAGGAACTGATATTCTCACTCATTCTCTTTCCTCTCTTACAACTCTGGCTATAAGAAGTAGTTGCATGTAGGAAAAAAGGTATCCCCCACTGGGACACATTCATTTTAAGTATCTTAGTTTTCTCTAAAGACATTATTTACTCTTTCACATTGTGGGTCTATCATATAGGCCTACACAAATTTCAGACACACACACAACTAATTCTTTAATTTAAATGCTTGATGAAACTAGTCTTTAAATGTGTTCTTCTTTTATTGTAATTGTAATTCTTTTGTTAATACATGCATTGTCATTTGTTTTATATTATTTTTGCATTACTCATTTATTACTTTGACTCACATTCAAGTCTGTAATAATTGTTATAGGAAAAAAAATCCCATGAGACATGTGTTTTTTACATAAACGCAACAAGTATTTCCACAACCGAACTAAACCCTGAACAATAAAAACTTTTACTGCATTAACAAAGGTTCAAAACACATTCTGAATACATGGTTTTCTGACATTTTTGCTAAAAACACAGAAATGAGAAAAGAATTGACAAAGAATAAAGACCAATATACCTTATCATGCTTTTTGAAAATTTTCCTGAAGCCAGTGAAATTGAGTGTCTGGTAGTTTTGCAACAAAATGAGGCTGAGATAGAATTCACTAAAGGCAAGCTTCAGGTCATGCATTTTGCGAGTGTTCAATGCCTTGGTGTTTTTGTCTCTCAGTAACACATGTACACTGCTACGGCGTCGACGAAGTGAGGAATTGGTCTGTTTTTCCTCATGCTGAGAAAATTCTTGTAATTCTGCATTCAATGTGGAGAACTTACGGGTTGCCTCTGCAAATTTTTCTATAAAGATAAAAAAAGTTCTAGTTATTCTTAATTTAAAGTGATGCTAAAATAAAAATGTTTTAATTGTAGCAATAAAGTATTTAATAAATAGAAATATGAAAGAGTGTCAAAAAGTTCTCAATCCGACCCACTCCCTAAAATCTATAAATGATCAAACATCTGAATTTTGATAAGGAAGGACTTCTTGACTAAATCAAGAACTTTTAAGCATCTCTTTCTATATATGTGTGTGCGTGTGTTTGTGAATATATATACATATACATATATATATATATATATATATATATATATATATATATATATATATATATACATATATATATGTACACAGATATATACACATATATATATACACATATATATATACACATATATATATACACATATATATACACATATATATACATATATATATATATATATATATATATATATATATATATATATATATATATATATATATATATATATATATATATATATATATATATATATATATATATATATATATATATATATATATATATATATATATATATATATATATATATATATATATATAAAATGTATATATATACATATAGTAATGACACTAGCTGAACTATATTATCAATTCTGTGTAAATATGACAGAAACTTAATCTATACAATTGTATATGCCAAAATATCTTCCTATATCGATTTTTCGAACATGTGATTAATCCAATACACATATTAATCTATAATATATAACATTACATAGGGTCAGTATGATACGTTTATTTTTAAACTGACATTAAAATGAAAATGGCATGAAGATTTGGTTACTTCCTTTAAAGGGAGATAACTCTTAGAAAGCACTAGTTCACTTTTAGGTGTTTTAAAAGTTTCTTCTGCCTGACATTGTTATTCGTATATTTTTGACAAATGATTATTTTTAGTGTTAAATTATAATATAAAAGTAAAATAATTCATTGTATACGGAGAAAGTACAGAGCATTTACAAGATGAAAAGCTTATTTCTGGCAATTGTATATGGATAAAAATGACAATTGGAAAATATTTCTTAGTTCTTGCTGTTTGTTTCATTATCCGACTTTATCTATGGCAAATGATGATAAATGAAATTAAAATTTTGCGTAGTTATATCAAATTCAAAATTTTAAAAAAGTTACCAATATCCAACATATCAGAAAGAGGCTTACACAGGTGATATAACTACACAACATTTCACTTCATGTTGACAGGAACTAAGAAATATTTTTCAATTATCCTTTTTATCCAATTTGTCTTATCTTCAAAATTATTCTGAGAAATTTAACTATATATATTAACCTTAATGTATTAACTCTTGCTCTTTTATTGTTGAGCATTTTCCTTTACAATGTACTTGTTTATGCTTTTATGTACCATCCCAAAATACATACCCTTATATGCAATATGGTCCATGCAGATTAATCCACTACCACACTCATATTTTTGAATGCACAATTATCTTTAGCAGGACAATCATTATTTATCTACAGATCTAACCATAATACAAGAAATCAAGACACTCGCTAAAAAACATTCCCATTCCAAACAAGAAGGAATACTTGTTAATATTGTTACAAAAAATTGAAGAATTCCTCACAAGGATGACATAGAAGACATTATTCTCTTTAAATAAGTATTTGAAGAAAAAAGAAGCCATGGATAATTATAAATTTAAAACCAACAAATATCCACCTGCTAACGAGGAACTAGCTAACTTTGAAAAAGATATGCTTAACATCATTGAAAATATCAAATTCACAAAAGTTAATAGCAATTTCCAAAAACTATTAACTATGGAAGTTAAAAGAATAAAAAATACAAAAAATATTCTAATTAAAGGTAACAAAACAAAAAATATTTACACCATGAACCCAGAAACTTACAGAAAAAAAATGATGGAAGAGGTAACTAAAACTTACAAAAAAACAGCAAACTCATACATTAAAAATTTAAATGAGGAGGCAAAAAAGATGACAACCAAACTAAGGATAAGTAACAGGGTCCATGTAATTGATTGTAAGTAAGTTTTTCTTACCATAAAGGACCACAAGGAAGAATTCCCTAACAATCCTTTTCACCTCATAAATCCTACCAAAACTGAACTGGGTAAAATAAGCCAAGAAATTTTGAAAAAATATGTGACTAATTAAGAATTGCCACACAAGCCAATCAATGGAATGATACAAGTCCATTTCTTGGTTCAATAAAATCAACATTAAAAATAAACATTTATTCATAAAATATGACATTAAGAACTTCTATCAATCTATATCAGAAAAATGTCTACTGGAGGCTTTGCATTTCACCAAAAGTTTCGTAGAAATAACATTAGATCAAACGGAAATAATTTTACATTACTGTAAATCCATTTGTTCCACAACGGAACAGCCTAGATTAAAAAATTGAAAAAAGATGGATTTGACATACCACAAGGTTCCTTTGATGGTGTTGAAATTTCTGAACTAATAGATCTGCATATTTTATATAAAATCAACAAGATTGTCCATATAAACAACCATGGTCTATATGGAGATGGCAGACTAATGATAGAGCCAAACAACAAAAGAACCAATGATACAAGTAGAAATGCACTTTTTAATCTCTTTAAAAACCTTGGCTTTGAAATAGAAGTCGATATATATAAAAAAAATTGTTTACTATCTGGACATTGAATTAAACCTTTTCACTGGCAGTGTCTCCCCGTACATAAAACCTAATGCAAAGTTAAGATATGTAAATATTAAATCCAACCACCCCCCCAAAATATAATTAAACATATCCCATTGGAATAGAGTCTAGACTATCCAAAAACTCTTCTTGTAAGACAATTTTTGAGGAAAAAAAAAAAAGAAAGAATATGAGATAAACTTAAAGGCAGAGAGCTACAAAGCAAATCTAAAACTTAAGCCTCAACACATTAAACACCATATGAAAGCCATTTTGAGGAAAAAAAAAATTATTTGGTTATTATATTTAGTAATTATGACATTCCCGGATCCCAAAAATCTTTTAACCCAAAAATCAAAAATTTTAAGCCCTTGCCCTCATATTAAAAAAAAGACTAAATGCTTTTGCAGTGCTTTCAATGAAGAAAAAATTTCCTTAACTGTCATCCAGTGATCAAAGAAAAAAAAGTTAACCTTGCACAAAGTAAAACAAGAAGAATGGATCAAGCCTGAACTGTGACAATTTATAAGTATGTAAAAAATAATTTTTTCTTTTAGGATTTTATCAAGTTTATGTGTAAATTTTTTCTTTATGTGTTTGTTTTGTTTTACACAATATGAAAACAATGACTAAAAAATTCTGAAGCAGCACCCCCACTAATTTTAACCACAAGCTGCCACTGTTTCCTTCTTAAGTTTATAAATTTGGATGTACAAATTAGTCATTTTACAGATGAACAAGCAGTATTATAATACAATGTATTCTCTGTTTCCTTGTCTGGTTCTGTGGTTATTTGAAGACCATGAATGTATCAGCTTCTAATAAACATCACTAAATGGAAATTTTTTTTAGCTTGAAAGTATTATACAAATCTGCTTTATTACTTTATCTTTCCTTCTTAAATTTATAAATTTGCATATACAAATTAGTCATCTTTTCTTTAGGAAATTGCACAATTTATAATTTTAGGTTAATTTGAAATAATCTGCTCAATTGTGTTCTCTATCACAGCAGCTTTAAATATTTGCAATTTCCACAGATCTGAAAAAAATATTGTACAAATAAATGATACTTGTGTATATTATTATTAGTAGCTAAATCATATTGTATTAGTTTCTCTTCCATTTAGTCACTTGAGTAGTAAAAAGGTCACCACAGAATTTAGAGTGAAATCTAAGAAAGTATACTATGGTAAAAAATATACAAGGTAAAAGAGATACAAAGAAAGACTTTATAGTTTATAATTACATAAAGAAACTTGGTTTGATTGTCCTGAATTGTTTATAATCTTCATATGATAACAATATATAAGACAGATTCAAGTATAATATCAAGTAGTGTTTTATAAGAGAATTATCATGAAATATAACACAACCAAACTGGATATTAGACAAAGCTTATTATTGTATTTATTGGTTTGGTTCATGTTACATACCTGATCAAATCTAAAATCTAAATTGTTTGTCCATTTAAACTACTATATTTATCAGAAAATACATTCAGTTTAAATACAGAAAAATAACTTTCAAAAGCTGCACATTTTGGCTTATACTTTTTTTGTATTACCCACGGGTTGTTGCCAGCCAGAAAGGGGAATTCACTCTTTATGTGTATGAATGTTTTACTTGGTACACATATATTTTAATTCATTGACAAGTCTAAAAATATTTCTAAAAATTTAAAAGTATTCTATTTATTACCAAATAATTTCCCAAAACTTCAATAAATCTTGTAAATACCTGATTTTTTAGGCTTTAAAAAAATAATTTTTTTCTTGTCTCCAACTTTAAGATTTTTTTGCTCATCTCTGGGCAGGGTTTATCAAGGAGAAGGTATTATTTCAATGTCTTATTTCAAAGTTAGTCAAATTGAGTGTGCATGTGTAGGATTTGTAGAACAAACATTAAAATAAAAGGTTGGCATAATCTCCTTTGGATTTGTTAAAATCTTGTATTAGAAATAAAAATGTTAATTGTGTCATCTATATTAAAACTAATTAAAAAAATTCCCTGATATATTTGAATTTCTATGAAGTGATATCCGAGGCTAATTAGAAGCAGGAAAAATATTTTTGTTTAGATTTCTGGTACATGTATTCCTTCATATTGAATGAGAATAATTCTTGGCTTGTAACACTTTTAATTCATAGTTTCTTTTTGTAGAGTTTATGTAAGTCACTCAAACACAGACATAAGCATATAAATTATCATTTTATAGTTGAAATGGCATAAGTTTTATGCTAACAGTTTCTTCTATTGCACTTTTCAATTGTGGAATTCAATTCCTACTTCTTGCTTCCCAGTCAACTTTGATCTT